TCTTAACCCAAGAAGAAACACAATGTTGCATATTGACTACATTTTATTTTGTCCATTCTTTCAAGTTAATAACATCATAACACACCAGTTATAAGGTTAATGAAATGGGTGCAGATTTGTTGTTAAATATTTTGAACAAAGGCAAAAATAGATGCTAAATATATAGTACAATATAATTCAAGTATATCACTTGAGAGACCGCCTTCTGCCGATTACCTCCCACAGACCCATTCGATCCCACAGATTAGGCCTCCTCCGTATTCCATCTGCCGGCCAATGTCGGCTGGTGACTACTCAGAGAAGGGCCTTCTCTGTGGCTGCCCCGGCCCTTTGGAACGAGCTCCCCGTGGAGATTCGGACCCTCTCCACCCTTCGGGCCTTCCGGATGGCCGTGAAGACCTGACTGTCCCAGCAAGCCTGGGGTTGAGTTCCCCCCCCCTTACTCAAATTTGCTGTGTCTTTTAAATTGTTCGTATTGCCTGATAGTCTTTGTCTTACTTTTTGCAATTTCCCCTCCCTTGGCTTTTGTTCAGCCGCCCTGAGTCCCTTCGGGGAATAGGGCAGCCTACAAATTGAATAAACTCCAAACTCCAACACTTTACAAGCCATCTCTGATCTCTTTGTGCCCTAGATCACACTGAAATCTGCTACAGTGGGAATGGGCACCTATACCGAGGCATGGCTCAGAGTAGTTCCTCAGGGGCACCTTGCCTACCCTGGGACTCCCCGATCCTGCTTATGGAGTATTCCATCAAACTCAGGAATGCAGTAAGCCTGGGCCTAGGAGAACACGCCTTCTGCAGGTGAGATAAAGTTTTAGGGTAGGGCTTTCCCCACTGGTGAGTTGAAGGACTATCTGCTTACCTTTGAGTTGTCATTAAACAATATTGCCCCACTGCCAATCTTCTATTAGGTCTGCCCTCTAAGGGTGACCAAGCCAAACAGAGTGTACATATTTTGAGTCCATCCTTGAAAGGTGTCAGAATAAGGAGGGAAATACTTCTTCTAGAGCAGGGGTCTCAGAATTCCTCAGCCAGCTTGAAGTCCACAAATCTTAAAGTGGCCAGGATTGGAGACCCCTGTTCTAGAGTAAGTCAGCTAAGGATGACCTAAGGCGGTCTCATCATAGTTGAAGGGAACCTAATTGGAGCACAAGAAAAAAAGGACATTGATTGGACATGGTTTATGCGGTAGTTAGAGGTACAAAATGGGCAAAGTAGATCCATTTAATGCAAATCAAAGAAAGAGACAATATATTGTAAGATTACCATGTGAAAAGACAATCTGATAAATCGTCTGATAAAGCTGATAGATTTGATGAAAAAAAATTAAAAGTAAATTAAATAAATAAATGTAAGGTGTTGAAAAAGCAAAGTATCCAGGGATGTAGAAAATCCAACTGCCCCTAAGCAGTAGAACAGATTAAAGAAAATTGAAATTGTAAGAAAGGAAATGCTATATTGTAAAGGAATGTTAGTCTAACCTGAAAAATCCTAAACATTTTCTTCGGGCAGAAATCCAGATAATGACACCCAGCCATGGTGTTTCTTGCTGCAAGACAGACGAATCACCTGGGAGTATTGTAACATTACCCGCTGTCACCCCCAAAGTGCCGGTAAGACAAATTGTTCTCTCTGAAAGAGCTGAGTATGGCTGAACTCCAGAAGCAGAGGTGGTATTCAGGCAGTTTTGACAGGTTCTGGAGAACCGGTAGTGGACATTTTAAGTTCGGCAAATAGGCTGGCCCCGCCCCTGTTGCCTCCCAGCCTCCCAGTTGATCTTCTTTTGTTGCCCTGAACAGGAGAATGGAGCTGGGAAGCAGGTTAGTGGGGTGGGGAGGGAATGGGGATTTTGCAGTATCCTTCCCCTGCCGTGCCCACAAAGCCACATCCACAGAACCGGCAGTAAAAAAAAAAAAATTGAATCTCACCACTTCCGAGAAGTGAACAAGTCAGGTGGTTTTTCACACAGGTGAACTGATAACAAAAGCGACAGGAGCGCCTCTGGAGGAGATGGCCACGAGCAGCCACGTGAATAGCAAACCCAAGTCTACCACTAGCTCAGCTCCAGTTTGTGGACAACGCTACACAAAAGTCATTTCCTCACGCAGCCGTATCATAGGGGGTGTGGTGGCACTTCCTGGTGCCCATCCCTATCTTGCTGCTCTCTACATTGGAGAGCAATTCTGTGGAGGAAGCCTCATCGATTCCTGCTGGATCCTGACTGCTGCACATTGTCTGGAATTCAGGCAAGTCTCATGTCTTCTCCATGCTATGCCTATTGTTCACCTTTTAGGGACTTTGGAATCTCAGCAGGATCTTACTGATGATCTTGGTGACTAACCAAGCCTGTACTATAATAGCAAAGATAGAATGCCACAAGTTGTCCTGATTCCAAGTTGTTTAGGATCTACCTGATTCAATAGTTAACAGGCGGCCATGAACTTATTTTAGCTTTAGTGTAACCTCTGCCCAGCTCTCTACAGCTTGGTGCCCTATTCACAACGTAACTGCCACATTCTACCTCAGCTACAAGGACAAGGACAACCCTGGCATTTAATGTTTGACAGTTATCTAAGTTTTGCATTACTGTTGTGTAAACAAAAGTAGCTGAGTGTCCCTGCCCCTCGGCCTAAGTAGATGAGGCCATTAGCCTAATTCAAAAGGCCTTGAAGCATTCATTTGAGATCTCTGGCGTTACTGATCTTTTTCTTTCTTGATAGCCTGCTACATTGGGTGGAAAGATTAAAGGGAATATCTGTCCCCACTTTTAGCTTTGGCCCTGCCGATTTCCCCCTCCCTCAAAAGATGGTCTACTTCTGCTCTAGAGGGGTTTTCCATAACACAATGCCCTCAAGATGTTGGAATCATGGGGTTTCTAATTAACACATCATGCATTGTTAAAGGCTCCTTTAGACAATCTAGTTCCCACCTCAAAAAGTTCTACTGATGATACATTTTGTGCTGTAGGCCAGATGTGTCTAGAATATCAGTGGTGCTTGGGCAGATCTTCTACAACACCAGCACTGAAGGCACTGTGAAGTTCCAGGTGCAGAAGTATCAACTGCATGAAAATTATTCACAAATAACTGAAGAGCATGACATTGGTGAGAACCTCTTCTTTTAAATCCGGCACTCAAGGGTTACAAATATCTATTCCATCCACTCTTTCCAGCTTTGGAAATGAGCTTCTCTTACAGTGTCTCCCAGGCTCAGTACAGGCTATGCCTAGTTCATCATGGATTGCCCGCAGGGTGTTCATTGCGTACCACAGTTTCCGTCAAGGGCAAGCAGCTTTCAGAAGCAATTCAAACCTAGTGGATGAGTGAAGAATTGATGGAATGAGATTGACCATGGTAGCTGGGTCTGATCAGAGTGATAATCATTATGTAGAATGATTAAGGGACACGGTGGCGCAGTGGCTAAGACGCTGAGCTTCTTGACCAGAAAGGTCGGCAGTTCGGCAGTTTGAATCCCTAGCGTCACATAACGGAGTGAGCTCCTGTCACTTGTCCAGCTTCTGCCAACCTAGCTGTTCGAAAGCATGCAAGTAGAAAAATAAGAACCATCTTTGGTGGGAAGGTAACAGCATTCCATGCGCCTTCGGCATTTAGTCATGCCAGTCACATGACCACGGAGATGTCTTCAGATAGCGCTGGCTCTTTGTCTTTGAAATGGAGATGAGCACCGCCCCCTAGAGTCGGGAAGGACTAGCACATATGTGCGAGGGGAACCTTTACTTTTACCTTTATTGTTGGGCCCCAATCCATGCACGGTAGCTCTAGCATGCTGTAGTAAAAATAATGCTGGGTTTTGGCAGAACTCGTCACATGCTTCTTGATGAAAGAATCTTATTTTGGTCTAAGTCTCCATGCCTTCAGCCAGACTTCATTAGGAGCAATACCAGCCTTTTTAAATTCTTTCATTCAGTCTGCCTGCTTCCTAATTCGGTTTTGGCTTGTTATCCCCCAGCTCTGGTGCAACTGAAGGAAAAGTCCCCAGGACGTTGTATTGGATTTTCAAACTCCATTTCACCTATATGTCTACCTAGTTCCTTGGAGACAGCTGACAGCAATGGATCCTGCCAAATTGTAGGATGGGGACATATGTATGAAGGTAAGGAGGCAATGCTAAACAGATAACAGATAATTATAAGCCAGACTTGAGGATGGCCTGATTGATATCAAGCGTCATCCATTCATTAACTTTGTTAGAGGAAAAGTATGTTTCCTCATTTTGTCTCCAGCCCCTTATAACCTGCTTGATGAGCCTATGTAACCCAATATTGTGCTCCCAGATGCAGAGCCAGATATAACGGTACAGATGAACACAAGGGCCATAGCCTTCTTGTACTTGCGTTTTCCAGTAATTGGCACCCAGATGCAACTTGCTTTTGATTTAATATTAGACAAGGCGTTTAGCCATTAGTTTTATGGAAGCAGAACAAGATAGGGCTTACAGAATGCAATTTACAGAATGGTTTTTCCAATCTTAAACTATACCAGTACAATGACTCATTGAAACTTGCTGGTTTTCTTCTTAGATATTTGATTACAGGTCTAGCACACAATGTCCTTAAAACAGTTTCCCCCTTTGATATTCCCTAGAAAACAAGTCCAATTTTGCTGGTTAACAAGTGTAGGAATACTAGATTGACACATCCAGAGAACACGCTGTCAAAGAAAGGTGCTTTAAAAAGCAGCAGTAATTTCCTTTACTGCCTGGTTAGTAAAAACATTCCCTGCAGAACTAAACTAAATTCTTCCTTACAGGAGCGGTGGTTTGAAGCTGTCAGCAGTCATATGTTTTTGCAATGGCCATATGGTAAATGAAGTTGGCAGGGCCAAGCTGACTTAGAGAGGATCATTCCCCCACCCCCACCCCAGTGATGGATCCTGTTACTCAACACTTTCTAGGAGAACTTCCATGCAGTTTTCATTTTTCAATCTCCTCCGAGTGTTTTCACGTGTTTTGTTTTGATTACTTTCACTCCTGGAGATTTCAGAATTCTGAGAACAGGCCGAGAATGCCAAGAGCCATCTAGCTCTCTTTCTTATCAACCAATAGGAAAAAAAGCAAAAACCATCCTTCTGTCCATGCCTCGCCTTCTCTGAATTACAGCAGTTCCTGGAGTAACAAAATTCCCCTTTGTCAGAGGTCATAGCTAGCTTTGTAGGTTGTCTGTGTGCTAAGTTTGGTTGAAACTTGGTGGGTGGGGCAATGAAGGGCAATGAAATGCCTCTGCCTGAAGGGGGTAGATCTTTGTTATGTAGAATAGACTGGCTCAGGCCTTAATGGCTCATTTACAAACAGGTATTAAGCGTGAGTCTGTTTCCTGCCTAAAAACATCTTTCTCCATGCCTCCTGCCTTTTTAATATTTCCTAGGATATTCCATTCTTCTACGAGAGGGGTGGGTGCTAACTTCCTACAGGTAAAGAAAAAGCAGGCTGGCCACCCAGATGTTCCCCTTCCTTCTTTTCTAGATAGATTTAAATTGAAAACTGTGATGATGGCATACTGCAAATTTGCACCCAGGCGTTTTCCTTAGCTGCTTCATCTATGACCAATTTCGTTGAATTTAAGTACAATAAAGATTATACTTATGAGTATAAGTTTCACTAAAGAGCCTCTGTACATGTGTACATGTGTGTTTGGCAGAGAATAATGGTTCATTTGAGCCCAGAAGCTGGAAGACATGGTGAGACAGGACTTTAGTGCATCCTGTTTAAAAGAAGCAAGGAATGTCAAACAGAGTCATTTTTACAGAAAGTGTGAAGGAAAAACCGGACTAGAGAATTAAGACTGAACTTGCTAAAATATTGCTTATGAAACCTACCAGAGAGCTCTGAATTCAGGCCAGGAAAGCTAGTAAGGCAAGATTTCTGGTGAACAGCAAAACAGCCTAACTCCTAAAGGTAGAGGTAAAGATAAAAGTTCCCCTGCACATGCGTGCTAGTCATTCCTGACTCTAGGGAGTGGTGCTCATCTCCATTTCAAAGCTGAAAAGCCAGCACTGACTGAAGATGTCTCCATGGTCATGTGGCTGGCATGACTAAACGCCGAAGGGGCACAGAATGCTGTTACCTTCTCACCAAAGATGGTTCCTATTTTTCTACTTGCATTTTTTACATGCTTTTGAACTGCTATGTTGGCAGAAACTGAGACAAGTAATGGGAGCTCACCCCGTTATGCGGTGCTAGGGATTTGAACTGCCGACCTCCTGATCGATAAGCTCAGCACCTTAACCACTGAGCCACCATTTCTGCTTTCTGCAAATAGTAAATGGGAAGATTTGGCCTTTGAGCTGCATTGCAGCCAGGTTACAAGAAAAGGGAACAACTTTGTGGAACACAAGTGTGTGGGTTCAGTACCAAAACTGAATAAATGCTACTAGTATGGGTGAGAGGTCCTGACAAAACTGGAGCAAGGTCTCATGTGTGCCAATGTGGTTCTTTCTTTGGCTTCCTCCTTAGGAGCTGACAAATTCTCTGTATATCTGCAGGAGGCAGATGTGCCCATCATTCCCCATGAACAGTGCCGTTCCCCAGATGTACATGGGTCCCACATTACCCAACACATGCTATGTGCAGGATACCTGGAAGGAAGAATTGATGCATGCCAGGTAAACCGATTTGAAGTAAAGGAAGCTAGCAGAGAGGAGCCTTCTGGAAGTCTAGACTTTGGGGTAGAACCTGTCAAGTGGGCCAGGAAGGGTTTTTTTGTGTGTGAACTTCCCATAGAGTTATATATTTGGAGCCCCTTTGCACCTCAGCTCAATCTCACCTCCTTGCACCCAGAATCAGGGGTGGGTTCCTACCAGTTCTAACTTCTTATATAGAAGAGGTTCCACAAATCTACAGTGCCATTTAGAACCGGTTCCATCTCCCTCCCCCCGCCTGTCCGCACATCATCAAGATGAAGAGTGAGA